TCTGACTCTGACTCTGACTCTGTCTCTGACTCCAACTCAGAGTCTGATAAATTAATTTGTGCTTTGACTGGCTTGGCATTTTATTGAAATTTGCATAAACATAATTTCTGAAAAGGTTGCCGGTAAATCCTCTCCTCACATGTAACAAAACACTACAAAATAAATAAATAAACTAACAATAGATGGAACGGTCCGATGCCGCAGTAGTGGGCCAAGAAAAACTCTATTATTTCAGTACATTAACTTTGGATTTATTGTTTATGGCAGCAGCAGTGGGGGTAGGGGCAGGAGCAGTGGCAGTGGCAGGGACGTGGCTCAAACGTCGATGCCTGCCTGGCCTGGCCCCTTATGTCAAAGTTGGCCAACAAATATCGAGTGAAAAGTTGGCTAAAAACTAAAACTGAAACCTTCTTCAAGCCGACTGAAACGTGACTCTCTTAAGGGGCCAGGCCGTGTCCTTGGACGAGAGTTTTGTGGCAACATTAATTGAAAGAGCTTTGTTGCCAGCCTTGTCGCATCATGCCACATCATGAGGCTGACATAATATGCATTTTAAATTACGTATGCACACAAGGCGTATGCGCAATATGACGAGCTCCAGGCCGCACATTTCCTTTGCCAGCAGCACATATGTGACACTGAGAGACTGTCTCTCGCTCCACTCTTTATTATTTTATAGCAGGAAATTCACACGCTGGAAAAGCCACTTGGCTTTTGTTTTTTCGGCCAAGTTTATGTTATAACATTTTCGATGCCATTTTGCCTTTTTTTTTTTTTTTGTTTTCTCTGCCGCCGCGCCAAAGCTCGTAAATCTTTGAGCGAGTGAGCTAAAAAAAAGACAACGCTCACATGAAAAAATGGAAAATTGCCCATTTTGTGGTGTGCTGGAGGTTGGGGGGTTGGGTCATAAAATGGAAACAGATCAATATAACATTTATTTATATTTTCGCTTGAGTGGCCATAAAAATGTCTCACTCCCAGTCGCCGTATTTCCATTCAAATGATCATTTCTGGAGGCGCTCTAATTAATACAAGGACGAGCATGTGGGTGGAAAAATACTTCAAAGACTGCCTCCGGGGGATTTATGGCCAGCAGCAGACCGGAAGTGTCACTTGGCAACTTTCGGATTGTCTGTCGAGACAAGCAAACTTCACAGCTCCAAAGCAACCCCCGAAGGACCCCGAAGGCGTTGAACAAAACTCCAAAATACTCCAACTCCGAATTCGATGCTCCTCTGCGCCTCCTCTCTGTCGCTGTTTGTGTGTGTATTTATGTAGCGATAAAATTAAATTTATTTTAACGCCCAGCCAAAGGTGCAGAGGTGCTGGGGGGAGGCGTGGCATGTGCGCACATAGTCAAACATTATCGCCAACTTGGTTGCAAGTTGTGAAACTTGGATGCCCCACCAGCCCAGCGTTTGTCTATCCGTCCACAGGCAGGAAATCGCTTGAATCGGCTGGCCCCAAAGTCTGCCACAGGCGGAGACCAGGGAAAGCCACCTGCGATAAAAGTTTCTACGCCATTTTCCACTTTCCTCGCCCGTGTAGCTGTAACTCTAACTGTAGCTGTGTGTGTCTGAGTGTTGTTTGCTGGGCATTTTTGGGCATACGCATGAGTCCTTCGCTAGGACTAATGCAGACAATAAACAAGCCACCAAATGCAATGCCATTGCCAATGGTGGCGGCCTGTCCGGGGGGCTTAATCTGCTAACAGAAGTTAATATTGCCTGCCGCAATGCAGTGGCAGAGGCAAACGGAGTGGGCACAGGTACAAGTTGCCCGCCGCCCCTTTTTTTCTGGCCACTCGACAAAATTTTCATACTGGTTAGAGCATAAATTTCAACAAGGGGAAACTGCATGCAAATGCTGGCAGAAGATTGGAAATGGCATACAAAAAAATATTAATATAAATTCAAAAGGGAGAAGGAGCAGCCATAACTGTACATGCACAAGTAAGGAAATCGTAAGGATACAAAATCTTATCGAAAAATCGATTGGAAAGTAGTAGAAAATGTAAGCTTATAAAATTAAATATTTCATTGAAAATATTAAGCAAATATTCTGCACGAAAAATGTCCATTATAATTATATAAATTCCCACGATATGAGTAAATATTTAATAATTTTTAAACTATACACATAATCGTGACAATGTTCAAGTTTATTAAATAATAATAGTGTGCGACAAACGGGATATTTCTGAATGTAATTTACCCAAGACAATAATTGATCAGTAAATCATTTCCTTTAAGTTAAAGTTTGCAAATATACCCGCAAAATCTTTTTTGTAAAAGCTTATTTTTTTAAGACTAAATTTAACTAACGAGTTCACGTCTGATAACAGGACCAGTTACCATATAAAAATATAGAAATATTAAAATTTATAGAAAACTTAAAATTTGAGTCACCAACAATGATGTGAAATGTGGTACAATTTGCATGCTAAAGTATTACTTTTGGTAGTTTTACGAGCTGCTGTTTTTGTGTACACATTTTAAAAGTGCCACTTCTAATTATGAGGTAGTAATTTACTTGCCCAGACCAGGAACCCAATTGTTGTCTCGTGTAAAGTACATTCAAAAGTGTCCCATTTGTCGCACAATGTTATCAAAGGGTTTCCCCGATTTGCGGGGATATAAGAATTCAAAGTTCTTAACGTGTCAATTCATTTAGAATTTAAGCAATAAAATATCAACTATGCCGTATTCATGGCACACTCCTAATCTTATCTGACGACAAGGCTTAAATGTTTTAGAAGAATTGGTTCCGCGAACCGCAACACACAAAAAAACCTCTGAACTTTGATTAGCTATCGCCCAATGATTTATGCCAGCCAAAAATCATATTAATTAAGACTCTGAACTTCTGATGGGCATATTGATTTTTGCCATTGCTTTTTGGATTGATGCGTGCCCCACCGAGCGGATGGTTTTATTGTCATGGTTATAGTTATGATGGGGCTGCCGGATATGGTTATGGATATGAGATAAGCTGATAAACAGAAGCCATCCATCCAGTGGGGATACATTATAAATGGGAGCTGAGTGCTGGGCCGCCTCTTAGACAACTCGAGCATGGCACCGGATAAGTATGCGCCAACGCAGCAGGAATCGTGCACCGCTCCAGGCAGCAACCGCTCCTGGCTGAGTCGCAGGCACAAGAACCAGCCGCAGTGGAATGCCCTCGGCTCCGTGTCGTTTATCCTGATCTCGGGTGGCATGAGTCTGGCCTGGGGCGCCGGCTTTGCCGTACATTCCGCACATCTGATGACGTTCCACATGGAGGTGTCTTGGTATGCGGCAGCCACTCTAGGAGCAATAATCGGAGCACTCTGCACGCATCGCCTGCCCCAGCAGCCCGTCTATGTAAGTAGATCGGAACGTGGATCGAAGGGAGAGAGAGATGGAGAGTGAGAGAGAGAGAGAGAGAGAGTGGCAATCATCTCTCTGACTTCGCAGATTATTTGCTCTTGTTTGGTGCTGATCTCGGGCATACTCTTCCTCGTCTGCCACGAGCACCCCGAGGCCATCATCACAGCCCGCTATTTGGATGGACTGGCCAATGGTCTGGTGTTTGTGCCCGCCATGAGCACCGTGGGAGAAATCTCGGTGTGCGACATGCGCGGACTGCTGGCTGCGACTGTGGAACAACTGAGCTGCAACACGGGCATCCTGATGCAGCTGCTCTACACGGCCGTGTGGCAGGTGGACTGGAACGTTACAATTGCCGCTGATCAGGTGCACGGCGTACTCAGCATTGTCTACGGTCTGGTGGCTCTTGCTCTGGCCTCGACGCTGTGCGTGGAGTCGCCGGTCAGTCTGCTGCTGCGCGCCAATGAGCAGCAGGCCGTGGCAGCACTGCGGCACCTGCAACGCCCCTACATGGTGACCAGCGAGACGCTGCTGCAGCTGGACGAGCACAAGCATTATGTGGCCACCAATCGAGGGATGAGCTTGTGGCAGAGCATTCGAATGGGCCTGCCGCCGCTGCTCAAGCTTCTGGCCCATCGCTCCCTCAACGCGCTCTGCCTGACGCTGGTCGTGTGGAGTGCCCTCTACGAGACGGCCGTCCAGGTGGCAACGCACTACCATGCCTGGCCCTACGTCATATTCGGTGTGATGCGCTGGTCTGGCTGCTTCTGCGTGCTCTTCCTCATGGACAGCACAGGCCGCAAGAAGCCCACGCTGTTTGGTTGCTTCTCCTGCGGCTCCTTTGCCCTCGCCTTTGCCACACTCTTTGGCCGCACGCCGCACATGAAGGCAGCCCTCGGATTGCTGTTCAGCCTGCAGTTTTTTGCTGGCTTGGGGCAAACCGCCTCAGCGGTGTATCTCACGGAGGCCTTTCCCTTGGCCATAAAGCCACACTATGTGGCCATCGTTTATGTCATGGAACTGCTCCTGCGATTCATTTTCTGCAGCTTTGCGCCGAGTCCTGCAGCCATTGTGGCCTATTTCTATGTGCTGGGAGGACTCTCCATGGCGTTCTTCTTTCTGGGCATCTTCTGTCTGCCCGAGACGCGGCTGACCACGCTGACGGAGGCGCAGCAGAAGTTTAGCAAGTGGTTCAATAAGGATTTTTAGCTGAATAAAAGACACTTGAAGAGAATATCGAATTGTTTACGAGTAATTCCCCCAATGATGGTTGAGTTAACACGAAAAAGAGAATGATTCATCTGCCTCCTGATTGTGGATGGCAACAAAACTCTGCTCTGGGGAAGCACACGACGATCCGTAGATCTTGGACAAAAGCGTAACTAGCACTTGACGCTGGGTTGGCACTTGATTGGGCACGGGTGATAGCACACCCATAATTCACGAACATTTCGATAAGCTTCGCTTATCGTGGTCTCGGTTCTGTTTCTAATACCAAACTGGTGGAGTGTTATCAATGCCATTGCGAGAGATAAGCCTTCCAGGCCCCCCCAAATCGATTATCAGTTGGACAAGGCCCAGTCGCAAAAAAGAGTCACAAAATTCACTTGCCCTGACAGTTGGTCAATCAGTTTCGAATCGAACCCCAGCCAGCACGGTCGGTTGTACCCATAAAAAAAAAGAAAACGAAACAACGAATCAGAATGCAAAACGATAAATTCGCTGCACCACCGGCAGGCTTCACCTCGGCACCGCCACAGCCGGGATATCCGCAGCCCGAACCAGCACAGACCTACCCACAGCCAGGATACCCACCACAGGGTTATCCGCAGCCACAGCCGGGTTATCAACCACAGCCGGGTTATCCGCCAGCTGGTGGCTACCCACAGCCAGGATATCCACAGCCCGGTTTTGTGCAGCAGGGAAATCCACCACAGTTCTATGGACAGGGCCAACCGCCACCACCTGTCCATAACTATGGTGTGATGCCGCCACATCATCCACCGCATCAGGATGGAACAACCACTGTGGTGCCGCCCACCGGTTGCTTCAGTCGCAATCAAAGGAACAAGCCGCAATCGAATGCTGTGGGTGCTGGTGAGTAGCGTTTGGGAATTAGTCATCTGCTCGACACTGACAGTTCCGATAAGATTGGGGTAGGAGTGTGGGGTGTGTCTATTCCATGGAATTTGATTGCAAACCAAGTGACATCATGAGAAGAGAACCATTAGGAATGGGACTAGGCTCCTGCAAAAACTCCATTTTTAATGTGAACAAATTCTTAATCGCTTCTTGCAGCTGGTCTAATCTTCATCTCGGGTGGCATGAATATTGCGTGGTGCATTGGCTTCCGTGGTCCGATCTTCTACTCAAGCACGCTGCACAATTATATTGCCTGGTTCATTGCGGCCATCATTGGAGCGGTTATCAGCTGCTTCCTTACTAACAGAATACCCAAGAAGTTTATCTTGGTAAGTGATTGATTGCAGCCACTCGATCGAGTCCTTGCTCATCTCTTTACACAGCTTTTTAGTGCACTTTTGGTGACCATTGGAGGCGTTGTCATGGGCGCCATACGCGACAATGGTGGAGCAGTTGTGGCTGCCTCGTATCTGGATGGCATTGGCAATGGATTGGTGTTTGCTCCGTTCGTGGCGTTGGCAGGGGAGGTGTCCGTACCGTACATGCGCGGCATGGTCACGGCCAGCCTCGAGCAGATGTGCTTCTGCATTGGCATCTTTCTGCAGATCATCTACACGAGCTCCTGGACATATTCACCCTATACCTCGTCCAGCAGCTTTACGGCGGAGAATTTGAAGGGAATACTGAGTGCAATCTACGGACTGTTGGCCCTGGGTTTCGGCGCCTTCATGTGCATTGAATCGCCGGTAATAACGCTAGCCAAGGGTGACGAACCGGGCGCAATTGATGCGCTGCGACGCCTGCAGCGACCTTATACACTGACCAACGACACCTACGAGCAGCTGGCAGAGCACAAGAGATATCTAGCCCATAACAAGGACATTTCCACTAGCCAGAGCATCATGCAGGCACTGCCAGCGTTCCTGCGGCTCACCTATCTGCGTGCCATGAATGCCCTCAGCATATCGTACTTCGTGATCATTGTGCTGACTGTTGCCATTTTGTCAAACTATCGCGGAGGTTCGGCGACTGGCTGGCTGGTTGGATTCGCCATCTGCCGCTGGATTGGCAACTTCATTTCCACCTTCATCATGGAGTCCGTCGGCCGCAAGAAGCCCCTGCTGCTGGGCCTGCTCGTCTGCAGCTGTCTGGCCTTTGCCATTGGCTCCAAGTACAGTCTGTACTATGGCATGAGCGGCGTCACGATCCTATTACTGATCTTCCAGGTGTTTGCTGGCATGGCGTTCGTGTCCACATCGCCGTACCTATCGGAGGCCTATCCGCTGGGCGTTAAGCAACACTTTATCGCCTTCACCTTCATCGCTGAGATGATCGTGTTCATCATTGTATCCTCGGCACGCTTCAATATATACGATGGCGCCAACTACTTCTATGTTGTCGGTGGATTGTATCTATTTGGCTTTCTCGCTGGAATCTTCTGTCTGCCCGAGACACGTCTGACCACGCTGCGCGGTGCCCAGGAGAAGTTCAACGGATTCATCAATAGATCTTTCTAACGGAATAAACACCAAAGTGGTTTGTTTTACGATTAGGGAGAGGGAGAGTGTGGGGTCTTAGTCAAACCAAAGATAATAAATATTTATGGCCTCGCGCAGTCTTGTGTGTGTTTATTCTATCCAGAGATAAGAGTTTCTGTGCTGTTAACATAGAATTGGCTTGTCACAAACGTCAAGAATTTATTTATATTTTCTACTTTGTATTTTGTATTTATATGTCAATAAATGTACGACAAAAGGGAATTTAATAAATAAATAATAAAGATACCTGAATATTAACTGCGGAAGTGCAACACATGCTGCTGGGTCTCAATCCAAACTTCGCGACGCGTTTGAACCCAATTCAAACATTCAGTGAAAGATAAAAATCACAACACCGAAATTCGAAGCGTTTACTAATCAATCGGGAGAACGATAAGATAATAAATAACGATAGTCGGGAAAGAAGCGCAACAACACACACACACCTGGAAGAACCAACCGGCGACCCACGGAATATTGTAGTTTTGTGCGGAACGGCGACCAAGGCGGTCATCATGCAGACAGAGAGACCAACATCGACAGCAACCGGCTTTCAGCCCATACCCACTGGTCATCCTGGTGCTCCTGGTGCGGAGGTGCATCGGGAAATGATCTATCAGACTGGACAGGGGACATGCTGCAATCAGGATCAACGCAATCAGCCGCAGGCATATGCAATTGAAGCGGGTAAAAGTTTAAACTAATAAAAATGAGCGTAGACCTTTGGACCTGGCAGTGAGTCAGCAGTGAATCAACGGAATAATAAATGCCCAAAAAAATAACACTTTATGCCACTTTGTATACCCTTTTAGCACACTTAAATGTTGCCTTTTAAAACCTTTTATTAACCCATATATCTTTGCTTTACTTTGCAGCTGCTTTGATCTTCCTCTCTGGCGGCTTGCACATTGCCTGGAGCATTGGCTTTGACAGTCTCTTGGCCGAGCTGGAGGTCAGTTCCCACCTGCGCATCAGTTGGTTCGTTGCGGCCATAGTGGGCGCCCTGGTGGGCGGATTCTTTAGCCAAAGATTAACCTACAAACAGCTCATGGTAAGTGCCACAAAATATTACAATTATTCCCTCCAAACCAATCCCTTACTTTGATAGCAACTTTGCGCCATGCTCACGGTCATTGGTGGTGTGGTGATGGGTGTCAGGCGTTTCAATGTCAAGGCCATGTTTGTGGCGAGATATTTGAATGGATTCGCCAATGGTCTGGCATTCGCTCCCACGCTGGCCATGGCTGGGGAGCTGTCCGTGTACTATAGGCGTGGCACAACGGCCTCGGCCGGCGAACAGTGGTCCACCGCATTGGGTATCTTTGTGCAGATCGTGTGCAGCGCCAGCTGGGACACGGAGAGCGAGTTTACGGTGGAGCAGTTCCAGGGCGTACTCAGCGCCGTTCTGGGCGTGATTGCCATTTGCATGGCTTGGCTGCTGACCATCGAATCGCCGGTGGATATGTTGCACAGAGGAGACGAACAGGCAGCCATTGATGCACTGAGCCGGCTGCATCGTCCCAGAGCTGTCACTGCCGAAACCTACGATCAGCTGGACAATCATCGCACGTATTTGGTGCACAATCAGCCGATGAGGGGGCTTAGAGGATGGACTGAGGCACTCCCCGCGGTGCTACACTTGTGCCTGCTGCGTGGACTCTATGCCACGAGCTCCAGCATGCTGGTGGCCTACACCTTGAGCTACACGAGCACCGTTGTCTACCCGGGCAGCTCGGGACCGTTTGTGCTCTTCGGCCTTCTGCGACTAGTCGGCAGCTGTGCGAGCGCATTCGCCCTGGACACACTCGGCCGGAAGATTCCCCTGCTGCTGGGTCTGGTAATGGCTGGCGGACTGGCAGCGGGAGTGGCCAGCAGATTTGTGGTGAGCGAGCTGCTTCGCGTCAAGGACATGCGAATGGCCCTGTGGCTGCTGCTGCTCTACCAGCTGTTTGCGGGCATTGCCTTTGGCCCGAGCTCCGCTTACCTCTCGGAGGCGTTTCCGCGCAGCGTGAAGCGTCAGTGCATTGCCCTCGCCTACGCACTGGAGATGATCATTCAGCTGGGCATTTGTCGCGTGGATCTCAGTCGGAATATCGATGGCATAGACAATATAGCTGGATTTTTCTTCAGCCTGGCTGCCCTGCTGCTGGCGGAATTTCTTTACAGTGTCTGGTGCATGCCGGAAACCAAAATGACGACACTGCGGCAGGCACAGATTAAGTTTCGAAATTTTGTGGTCTCACAACAAGCCTGAAAGTAGGCAATTCTCACACACAATACTATGCCACCAACCTTAGATATAGCTGAAAGTAAATCTGTAATCTGTATAAGAAACACACTGAAGTTCTGTTTCTTGTCTTATCAAAGTGTTGCCCAGCTCTTTCTCTTCTGTCAGCATGAAGAGCTAATTTTAATTTGATATTCGGGGGATTCCGCTTGTCAGATAAGCGTTTACGGCGAGTATTTGCCAGCTTATCAATTTATCTAAGATAAGATGGATCGTAAAGAAATGTTTGCTGCAATTTACAGCAATCAAGGCACTTTAAATGGTCTAATTTATTTATAAACTATTTAAAAAAAGAGTCAGTCACGTCTGAACTTCAACTGAGAAGGATTTGGGTTAGATTTTATAATTTCTTTAACCATTTAACCACTTACCTTTTAGTTCTCCTCCGACTGATCCCGTTTTAAGGCAAAATCCAAGAATATTTCCTCCAGTCTTGTTTGTATTATTAAATAATCTTCGATGTATAATTTTTCTCGATTATGTTCTATTAATCGAAATAGTTTTGACCACATTAATTGCTTCAAGGGAATGTAATATGTGAGCATGCCATTGCAGGTTTCCTTGAGCACTGCATCGGGTATTTCTTTGGCAATAAACGAATTTAGTTGTAAAATTCTGCTGGTTAAATCAGTGCCATTACTTAGTTCATTTTTATTCATTTTTTCCTGCTCCACATTGCTCTCCTCCACTGACATTCCGGAACTGGAAGAACTTTCTACTGCTGGCTGCTCACTTCGGCGGGAATGCTTAATTTTTAGCTTCAAGATAAGACCCTTTGAGTATCGATTTTTGATATTTTGCACGGATCCTATGCACTTGAATTGTCCATCCACCATAATGGCCAAACGGGTGCACAGCGTCTCGCACTCATCCATGCTGTGGGATGTCAAGACAATCGACTTGCCCGATGCCCGTATGTGAGCGATTCTTCGCCAAATCTGCCGCCTTGCTGCTGGGTCCATGCCACTCGTTGGTTCATCCAAATACAAGATTGAAGGGTTACCAATAATTGAGATGGCAGCACTCAGCTTTCGCTTATTGCCACCGCTATAATGTTTGGTTAATTTATCAATGTGTTCGTTGAAACCAAAATATACGGATAGTGCTTCACAGATCTGCGGCACATGTCGCCTTTGCACGCCCTGCAAGAGGCAATAAATGCGCAGTGTCTGGCGACCAGTTAGATCATCGAACAGCGCATCAAATTGAGGACAATAGCCAATTTTTTCGTACACTTTACGCATTTTATGGCACAAGTTTCTGCCTTCAACATAAGCAAATCCCGCAGTGATGCGCGCATCGCCGGTGAGCATTCTGAAGGTTGTGGTCTTGCCGGCGCCATTGATGCCCAGCAGACCAAAGCACTCGGCTTGGGTCACATGAAATGAGAGATTTTTGACCACAAAATACTTGCCATACCGCTTGCTAATGCCATCCACCAGCAGGGGTATCTTTTTTCGCTGTGTGTTTGTCAGATTTTTAATGAGGAAATTCTCCCGCTTGACATCATCGTTGTCGAACGTGGACTGGCCCTTTGATCTGCGACGTTTGCACAGCGAACACAATAGTTTATAGGGATTGCAGCACACAGCCTCACATGTGCATATTTTGGCATCGCAAATCATGAGTAATGAGAGCAAAAACACAGCCATCGAGCAAAGGTAGATGATCTCTGGCAGCACACCGGGATGCCGCCAATCAAAGTACCCGGGAATGTTGCAGCACACGGGAATGGTGCGACAGCGTATCTTTTTTGACATTTTTCGCACACCCGCAAAGCTGCAGCCACGACGAATGTTGAATCCAATGTGAATATGATGAATGGCACTCGCTAAACAATAATGGGGGAACACACGAAAGTACCAGGCCAGCTGCACTGCAATGTGCTTCAGTTGAAAGGCTTCAAAGGACAGCGCCAACACGAGCATGAACAACGCCGTGCCCGTCAAAGTGGTGGCAATGACAGTGCGCGTAAAGCCCGTGGCACCATCCGAGAAGCAACTGGAAATGGCATAGCTGAGGGGCAGTGCAGCCAAGCCAAATAATAACAATATTCCAAAGTATAGACCCAAATCGTAGAGCGTTGAGTAGCCGGGCTCCCGAAAGGCGGCAATTGTGAGTATGGCCATCAGGGCAGAGAGCGAGAATATGGCATAATCCCACAGCAACTGGCTGATCCAGTACGCAAACACATCGACTCCGGTCAGGAATTGCATTAACTTTGCACGTGTCTCGCGCTCCTTAATGATTGGAATGACATAAAGAGCCGTCACGATGCTCATGCAGAGGCTCAGATTTATGGCAATTTCCGCACCCAAACGCTGTCCCTTGTTCAAACGCAAAGTCAGAGTTTGATTGTTGTACGGCAGTGGGGCATTGGTTACACCCGTTTTGGCCTGCTTGCCCAGCATTTCCATAGCCAGCGCATTGTGCAGTAAATTGAGTGTCAAAGGAGCCGTATGCAGTGGCTTATTATTCAACCAGACTGTGAGATTATCCCTGCCAATGGTCAACCCCGCCAAGTACTGAAAATCAATGCGTCGATGCTGATCTTTACCTATGCCCAAAATATAATCTTCCACAGGGGACTCGCTGGTGTTTATCAGCTTAAAGCCCAAGCCATGGCTACGCAGGTGATTCGCGTAGCTGGAACCCAAAGCTGGCATTTGATGACTTGAATTTTCAGCATGAAATATCACATAACCCTTGGGATATTGATGCAGGGAAATCTTCAGGGCAGGGAGCTCGTAGTAGATGCGACCACCCTTTGAGTTGAGTATAGTTAAAGACATAATTAAAATGGGCAGAAAGAGTTGCATCAACAATATCCAAAAGTTGCGGCGAGTAATGTGAGCTTTCTTCAAGAATAGAGCCTGCCAGCGCATGCAGCAGCGTGTGTGCCAACGTTTTTCCTTCATTTCCATATCGGAAAATAAATCATTGAAACCTTCCTCATTCTGGGACTGAGTCGAAGAGTTCTCTGGCGCTACGTGGCTAACCTGCAGGAAAACATCCTCCAAAGTCGTTACACTCACGCCATAACCATCCAATTTCAGCTGATGCGTCTGCTGTTCGAGGGCATTCAATAAGTCGGGATATTTCTTGGCGTATTTGTTGGGCATCAGATAGGAAATTTCGCTGCCGAATTCACTCTCCAGCTGTATGGCTGGCAAATGTTTATTTAGCAGCTGTGTCACCTCCACCACATTGCAATTCTGTTGCTTGACACAAATCAGTCGATAGCCAATGCCAAAACGTTTCTTTAGATAAAACGAAGTGCCATAACACTTGAGTTTGCCATCACACAAAATGGCAATGCGATCGCCCAGGACATCCGCTTCGTCCATGTAGTGTGTGGTTAGCAGGACAGTGCGACCGACCTTCTCCGCTTGCAGCAGCTCCCAGAGACTGCGACGTCCGGCTGCATCGACACCCGCACTTGCCTCGTCGCACAGCACAATGCTGGTGTTGCCACAGAGTGCGCAGCACAGCGAAAGTTTACGCTTCATGCCACCCGACAGCTTAGCAGCAGCAATGCGTGACTTATCCCCCAGCTCCATTAATCTCATGTATTTACTAACTTCCAAGCTAATGGCAGCCGCACCGCGCACTCCTTTTAGTTGACTAAAAAATCGAATATGATCCCGAACCGTCATGTGGCTGAAGAGAATATTTTGTTGTGGGCAAATGCCCAAAGATCTGCGTGCAGCTTCCAGTTGGTTGCGGATGTCAAATCCGTTGATTAATGCCGTACCATCCGATGGCTGAATTATGCCCGTTAGCATGTGAATTGTTGTGGTTTTTCCCGCACCATTTTGGCCAAGTAAAACTGTGATCTCATTGCGATACATTTTCAAACTCAATCCATTGACGGCTTTATGTTTGCCGTAGTTTTTGTGAAGATTGCACAACTGAATGCCAATATTTGGATTAATTTTACTGGCATTACTTATATTTAGGGGCAGGGGATTTGTATTGACAGAAGGACTTAGCAGCTGCGTCCAAAATTTACGCCGACAAGGATAATACCAGCGTCGGGTCAATGCCGAGTCTCCAGCAAAGATTTGTTCCGCATATAGACATATTATCAGATAGATTATCCCGCCAATTGTGAGCATAAAAATCACATAAATCAGCGATAAACTGTCATCCAAGGACACCGGCTGAAACATGTTATTCCAGCGAGCGCCCTCGCCTGCGCCCTCCCAGGCCATAATCACATGAAAACCAAAGCCCAACGCCGTATTTGACATCAGCAGACACAGGACAAGTTTTGTGGCCAGGTTCAAGCGATCATAGTAGTAATACGAAAAGGAATATGGGATGTAGGTGATGAACCACAAGATGCTGGTGGCAGCCGCTGAAGTACTCGCCTTGGAAATGAACACGGCAATCATGAAACAAAAGCAAATGCAGGCAAAAACATATGTGTGCAGAAATATCAGCAGTGGCAGCCAATGGGAGTACGTTAGAATGGCAACAGATTTGTAAAACTTGCCAAGGAGTAGGCCCATCAGCAGGAGCACCACAATCATTAGCATAATGTAACTCTTGATGAACCACGCCAGCCAATGGATCCAGTTGTGGATGCCCATTAATTTCATGATGTCCTTCAGCTGCAGCTCCTTCTCGTTGGTCACTTGTTTGGCCACAAAGGAACACGGATAAATGAAGCTGAGAAGAATGATAAAGGACAACAGCTGCTGCAGTCCACTCAGCAACGGATCATGAATGTACGCTCTATAGGGAAAACGCTGAAGATGTATCTTTGGTAGCTCCTTCTCTTTGCGGCCCGTGCTGAGTTGCAGCCAGGACATTGTCAGAGCATGTTGCAGTGGCAGAAAGCCTTCCCTGATGTAGCCAACAGGCACACCACCATCACTGGCATTGCTGTTGCGCGGTCCACTCATATCGTAGATGGGAAAGAGATTGGTCGTCCTCCAAGTCTCCACAAATGGCCCGTACATAGTGCGCAGTTCGCTGGGAAATCGAAGTCTATAATTGAATGTAGATGGAAATCCCCTCTCGTTCACTTCCGCACTTGTCGCTTCAAACTCCACACCCGCCAAGTAGTTGTGCGTCACTAAATCATATTCCATGTGGGAGGCAGTGTCATAGGATCGCCAACTCAAAAGTCTCAGCCGCATGGTGGCAGCAACGATAATTGCACGATTAGCCGTGCTATCCGGCGTATAGCAGAGTATATTTTTGGGTATATTTAACGATCCATTATCGTGCATAATTAGATTTCCGTGTATCACTGATTTCTGAAATATTTTCATATCCGATATGGACACGGGCGGGTACCTGATTACAGGCATCGATTTTGGCTCCACCAGCACACGCAACGCGACAATAAGTAGCAGAAATATCACTGGTAGAATTAGTGCAAAAGATAGTTGAATTTTCTGGTTCCATTGCAGCGTCCAGTTCTTCCACAGGAGCAGCTTTAATTTCTTCCAATCACCAATTGGCTCATATGGTTGCGACAAACCACCAGGTTCGCTCATTTATATTAGCTTGGAAATCGAAACACTGATATATAAGTGGCATAAATATCAAAGAAAATGTATATTTATGTGTAGATTTTGTCTAGAATTTTATTGATACGCGACAATAGGGGTTGCGTGTCCGAAAACAAAAAGATTCTCTCATTAAAATCGAATTATCAAACAATTTTTATTAGGGAGACTTTCGTCGGCAATCAATGCTTTTCCATTGTTATAAAATCAGCGAACATTTTACTCGTTTAATGCCACATCTGCCACATGCTTTATGCCCTGCTAACTAGTTCCCCATTGAACTGTTTTGGCTCACACCTCGCGGCACCTAGACCTTTCTTTCGTTTCGCGCAGTCAATAAATTTGTCAATACTTTTATGAATAAAAAGAAAACACAGTAGTATTGTACATACCATATATTCAAATTTAATTAATTTATTTATATCCAGTAATCAAGCTGATAAGAGTGCGCTGGCTGGCTGGCTGACAGAAAAGTTTTCTATGCTTGAAGCGAGCCTTATCTTATCAGCTGAAAGGGGTGCTTTCCACTCAATAACTGCTCCACCGTTGCTCGTTGCTCTTCCATTTATCGAGGCGCGTCGGAGCACTCGGTCAAGTTGTCCGGCCAGAGCGAAAGAAACCGCAGACCGACGTGCTCGTGTTCCCAAGTGATCGACAGAAAAGTGCAAATAACAAAATAAATATAAAACAAAATCAAAATGACAAATTGGTGAAGACAACAATAGAGCGGGGAGCGTAGCGGCGATTTCCAATGAAAAAGAATGCCAAGTAAACAAATAACAAATCAATCGCAGACACAGCAACCGCTACTCAATAACGCATAAATAACAATTGCGGAACGCCCCGCCAAAGAAATTTGTGAATTGTGTTACGTAGTGAGTGCACAGCCCGGAGGCACATCCGCCAAAATGCCAATGCTGCCGACCATTGAGGAGGAGGGCAAACTGTCCTGGCTGCGCCTCATGTGGCGCTATCGTCTGCAGTTTCAGTCCATGGCTGCAGGTAAACGTCAAGATTGAAGATCACTGAATTCCATATAATATCTGTGCATATAACTCGACAGCCTCGATTGTTTTTGTGGGCTCTGGCATGCGCCTGGCTTGGTCCATTTTCGACACGCCCGCTGGCAAGTTTATGAACAACAACAACACACAGAATCTGACGATGAGCTGGTTCATTGGCGCCGCTCTGGGCGCCCTGTTGGCCGCCTTCTTTGTGCAGCGTGTCACCAAAAATGTTGCCTATGTGAGTACGAATGCGAATGGGAATGGGAATACTATCTGCCACCCAACTCTATTTTCTCTGGTCTGCTGTTGTATCTGTATCTCGCACACTGATACTGTTTGGCCATTAGCACTCGGGCCATTAGAGGCGGCTTATCAATCCAATAAAATGATAAAGTGATCGCGTTCAACCTGCATTGGCCATTAAGTGGCGAAAGTCTCAATGCGAGGTGTGATTGATTAATTGTTGAGGTTTTGCCCATAGGAAACTTATCGGAAATAATTTAAGAAGTGGCTTGGAAAAACTCTAAAAAATTGAGAGAGACTTAAAGTTTCGACACAGCTAGACCCACAGACCTTTGGGAGTTTGGAGAACGCAGAAGAATAAAGCATAAAATCCAAATTAATATCCTCCCAAATCTTGATTTATTTCCCACAGACATCCAGTGGCTTTCTGTTGCTCATGGCCGGCGTTCTGAATCTGGCGCTGCCTCAGCACTTTGGTGCCGCCTGCTACAGCAGTGTCAGTGTGGGCGCCGCCTATGGGCTGACACAGATTCAAGCGCTGGTCACCGGCTCGGAAGTGGCTCACAAGTCCATACGCGGCATGCTGCTCAGCTGCGAGCGCATCTTCCTCTGGCTAGGGGTCTGTATCCAAGTCTTCTACACGCGCGTCTGGTACAATCTGGAGCCGGTGCAGCGTGGCTATGCCATGCACATTGATCAGCTGCACGGCATACTGCTAGGAGCGCTGGGACTGGCTGCTGTCATACTGGCACTGGCCCATCGACTGGAGTCGCCGCTGCTGCTGCTGCACCAGGAACGGGACATGGCCGTGGGCGACACGCTCAAGCAGCTGAATGGCCAGTCGGCCACGGAGCTGGTGCGCCTGCGCGAGGATTGCCGCCAGTTGCACAATGCCCGCGACTGGGAGCAGTTTGTGGAGGAGCCAGAGGAGATCCCTGGCTGGCATCGAGTGGCGCGTCGAGTCCTGCCACTGCTGAAGGTGCTGCTGCTGCGCTGCTTTGCCACCCTGGCCCTGTCGTTGTCCTTCAACCGCGCCTTCCTCGTCGTCAGCTGGCATGGCCTGGAGTGCGACATGAACTGCCTGTATTGGCTGGCATTCGCTGGCCTGGTGGGCAGTTTGGGTGGAGCCTTCCTCGTGGACACTCAGGGACGTCGCAAGCTGTGTTCCCTCTCCCTCTTCATAGCTGGCATCATCATTGTCATGGTGGGCGGCGTCTTTGAGCATCTGGAGTCCGTGAAGAAGACCTTCTTCGACATCAATCTGCAGGCCATTGCCCTGCTGATGCTGCTCTTCGAGCTGATTGTCTCGGGCGGTGTGGCGGTGCCGGCTCTCATCTATACGGCGGAGGCGTTCAGCATTGCCCACAAGGCGCGCTGCCTGGCCGGCATTTTGGTCTGTGAGCAGCTGCTGCAGTTGGGCCTGCTCCTGGCCGCTTTCAACCATTGCCTGACTGATTCCATTCTGTTCTTTACCATTGGGGCGCTCAGCTTCTTCTTTGGACTGGTCGTGTACATGCTGATGCCGGAGACGCGGCACTTGACGCTCTACGAGTGTCTGCTCAAGTTCAAGAAAGTTCCTTAAACTTAAACTTAAATCTGAATTCCTGTAGCCTTATCCTTATCCTTAATCTTCGTAATCCTAAGTGATTCTCTACTCTTTAATTTGTACCTGTGTCTGTTCATGTGTGCGTGTGCATCTCTGTATCTCTCCCCTTTGTATCTCTTAAGTTGCATTAGCAGATATAGCATTTATTGTATGTAGTTGTTTATATGGTAACAGCCCAGACCACAGCTACTGTTGTTCAGTGAGCGAGCTTTTTGGCAGCTTTTGTTTGCTTTGAATTTGAACGGCTTGCTGCAAGCTTAACCAACCACCTCTGTCACGGTGTCTACTGCTTGCAGGGGTGGGTTTATCTTTTTAATTCGTAATAAATTGATGTATTGCTTATTTTATTTCATTTTATTTATTTTACCATGCAGTAACCATTCTTGACTTAATATTAATCATATTCATTTATTTGGCCTTCATTTGGCCTGGAAAATTGTCTTTAATTTATTAATTAGTTTTTTCAAGTTATAGTTCATTTATTTACTTCTTTAAAAATCTTCCTAAGTGCTAAACGTTTATTTTAACAGTCTGTTGACACTTCCTGCCGCCCTCACAGCTGGCTGCCACTGGTTCATGGAGAAACTTAAAGCTTTGCCTAAGCTTTTCTGCCATAATTTCTGTGCAACTGTCACCACTATTCATTTTCCAGAGCTTTGACTGGAAAGCAGTGCAAAAATTACCCCGTTATTTCGGAAATGTAAACAATGAGTAAAAGCTTTGCTCCCATTCATAAATTATCCACAGCATTTAAACCGACAATTCACCCGCCAAGAGTGATAAAATAATATATAGAAAATCTAGAAGGAGTAAGCGAGAGAGCTAGAGAGCTGATTAATATGGTGTGTGTGTTGAATATGACGAGTACAAAAAACATTCAGGACCAACCCAAACTCTCCCCCAGCTGGCCCACTTAATGATGTGGAAAATTCGCTCTGCTTTATGCCACAGACCAGAAACTTTTTGATATGCAATTTTCGATATTCCACATTTTTGGCTTAGACCAGCCACAGCCACAGCGCGCTTTGATCCCAAAAGTGCTGCCCGAGCTCCGGCCGAGCGGCTGTCTGTCTCGCTGTCTGCGCTGTGTGCTTGCTGTCTTTTGTTTGCTGCGGTTGCTTTGCCACCCAATTGTATCTGTGGCACAATTAGCTATCACCGTACGGGCCACTCAATAACATGCAGTCCACAAGTGGAGGCGCCGCCACAGCAACAACAACAGAGCAGCAGCAGCCGCTGCGGCATATTGACCCCCTTTGGGCTTCCCTCTTTGGCAAAATGAAGCGGCGTGAATCGAGTTTAAAGTTATTTAATTTTTAATTGAGTTAATTTGCGGGGCAAAGAGCACAATAATTTGCTTTGTTTATGCAGCAAAAACAGCGAAGAAAAAATAATAACAGCAAAAGCGGTACGGTACGCCTTTTAGTCTGAACATTTCCCAGCGGCTTCTGTGTCCATGACAGCCATTTAAAAGTTTAGGTTTTCGCCAATTATGAAAACAAAAATCTTATAAAGATGGGCAATGATTTTGTCAGTAAAGCTCAGTAGAAAGAGGAGATTTTGCGGTATATTTATCAGTCGAAGAAGATCTGATTTAGTTCCCATGAAGATTCGTTTAAAAATGGCTAGGACTTGGCTTACTGCTCCTACGATTCATGTAAAAACCAGACTAACGGCTTAGTGAATTATACTTGCAATAGTCCCTGCTGGGCTGGACTTTCAGGCACACACGACTCCCACCATAATCCCTGCTTATTCCTTGAAGTTGCCACAGTTTCCAGTCCAAACAAAATGAAAAAACTAAAGTTCACAGGATCTGCAAAAACATTGCATTACTTTGACTTTGCTTTGAGAGCAGAACATTTGAAAGAGAGTCACCACGCAACACCCAAAGGCGCCAACATTTCAGCCACAAACTCCACAAACTCCGCATGTGAAAAGTGTAAAGGAAACGTCCCTCAATGGGGAAATGGTGCACTGTGTCATGGTGTTGTTACCCCTTGCCAGCAGTTTCAATTAACTGAAATTGAAAACGACAATCGTAACCATTAACAGCAATGCGATGCCCCTGCTGTGAGTAGAACCTAGGGGGCGATGGTGGGAGCAATGCAAATCGCTTTGCTGCAGCAGCA